CGGGGCGGAACCTTCGTAATTAAGAGCGCGTAATCGCACGGTCGCATGCCGGAAGGAAAAGACTTAAACGCTTCCTGTTTTCGCGCACGTGGAGTCGGAGTCGCGTCGCCGATTCCGCGCGAAAATCCCGCCGCTCCACGTCGGTTCTCGCGGTGCGACCCGAGAGTTCGGCAACAAGTGTTTTGCGCGTGCGGAGGTACGGGTGGGCATACCCCCCCCCCCCCCCCCCCCNNNNCGCCGCCGTACCGATACGCCGAGCGCAGTGGATTTACGTGGGTAACTTTGCAAGCGTAGCGAGACGAAATCCAGACTGCGCGGAGACTTAAAGACGGTCGCGCTACAACGATGCCGGATGAGATGGTTATATTTTAGCTTACCCAGGCCAGGGAATGTCATTGAATTTTAAAAAGTCAGGGAAATGGACAGGGCCGGATTTACTTACTTGCCGCCCATGGGCAGCCTGTATTTTGCCGCCCCCTTCTCATTCGTTTTGAAACATCAATAAAAAACCATCAAGTGAACGTGCCGGAGGGGGATAGGCGTATAAGACGCGTTTACTCGTGTTGGTCACATTTTCTGCGAAAGCCCTGTCAACACTACTAGCAAAAGTTCACGGAACTTGGCGCGAAAGTTAAGTTCCGTAAACCTATCTCTGTATGGATAAGGCCCTCCATTTATAAAAAATGAACCAAAAAATTATGGAAGAACAAACATAAATGTGGTTTAGTAATTTTAACTTCCGCCGCCGCGCCGCGCTGACCGCACTGTGTTTGGTATGTGTGAGGTATTCCTGCAGTCTTACATGCGCTATGCGTTTCGGGCCGACCGCTGCTGCACTCACTGCGTTTGACGCAACGCGTGAAGTATTCATGCAGTCTTGTAGGCGCTAAGCGTTTCACGCTGCCCGCCGCTGACCGCAGCGACCGCACTGTCTTTGGCGCAATGCGTGAAGTATTCATGCAGTCTTGTAGGCGCTATTATGTGTTACATGCCGACCGCCGCGCCGAGGGTTTCTCCTTTTCATCTCACGTTCTCGTCATCGTTGCTCTCTGCGCCGCGCCGTTCCAGGCCAAATTCCGTGTTCGGTTTCTCTCTTAGTCTTAACTCGACTAATTAAAGGTGCTGTCTATTGTATCACAGAAGGGCGACAAAATTAGAGATATAATCTCTGGAAATGAGAGATTTTGTCACCTTTTCTCGTTCGTCATTTTTTTTTTCTGAATCCGATTTTTCTTTATAGCTACATTTAAAGAAATTGCAAAATTTGCCGCTCCCTAAATTTGCCGCCATGGGCCGCGGCCCATTTGGCCACCCCCTTAATCCGGCCTTGGAAATGGAGATGTCGCATGTGTGAGGGATTTGAGATTTGACCATTGACTCTTATGTAAAAGTTCGCGAGAAACACGATGGTGGCACTGGTTTTCTCTGAAATCATCTCCCAAGCTCAAAAAAAGCTCTCAAAGTGAGGCCAAAATGGAGGGGATATCCCACCCTACCCTGAGAGTCCACCTCTACATAGACAAACTCTCCATGCAAAGAAAGGGAGCAAATACATTGGCAGGGCTGCAACTTTATTTGGGGACTCCAAAACTGAAAACACGGCATCTCTGCTAATGTATTTGCTCCCTATCTTTGCATGGAGAGTTTGTTTTGATGTAGACGCGGACTCTCAGGGTAGGGTGGGATATCCCCTCCATTTTGGTCTCACTTTGAGAGCTTTTTTTGAGCTTGGGAGATGATTTCAGAGAAAAACAGTGGCACCATCGTGTTTCTCGCGAACTTTTACGTAAGAATCAATGGTCAAATCGCAAATCCCTCACACATGCAACATCTCCATTATCAGCCTCCTGCTTGTCGCCAAGAATCTAGTGGAGGATCTCGATTTGCTTCTGATCTTTGTCAATGTGGACGATGACATATTGGATCTGAAGCATGGCAGAAAAAGAGGCGGAGATAATGCTGAAGCGCATTTTTGTGCAGAAAACCAAGGTGAAGGGAGTGGGACTCTGGCGCAACGCGGCGCGCGGCGGACGCAGCCGAATGGGGATTTTTCATGTGGACCAATTATTATTCATGTGGTATTAAAACTACGGAAGTCGAGTCGAGCAGGTTGTCGCTGCATTGCCGCACTGCCTTGCTAAGGAAAAACGCCGTATGAACATTTAGGCGTTGCCAAATTTCCTTTGATAAAACACGAACAGCCCTCGGGGGGTCGGGCTTCTTGAAT